TTTCCCTTTCTGTCTGCTGTTTTCATAGGAAAATAAACACTATTCAGATTACAAGAACAATTCAGTCAAAACCTCTGCTGGAGGAATTAGATTTCTGGTAGGGTTCGGTTCCTGCCTCCATTGTCCATTAAGGTTGTTTTACTTCGGAGTCTGTTTTTATGAGGCGATCATGTTGGTTTATACATATGACTTTATTCTGTTTTCATGCTGATATAAAAATCAGGGGTTGCACCGTTGAAGACCGTATCTCAGTTTCAAACTAGTTTAAGTGGGAGGTATATCACATCCAAGGAGTTTGTATATAGGTCTGGACATTGGATTCAAATTTGGGATTTTGGTCTCACTCAGCCTTTACGTTTTAACGTTCTTTGCTTTTCCAGTATGAGGCTGTGCCAATATGAGTAGAAAGCTGAGATACAGCCCGTGTGGTTAATTGGGACAATAGTCATAAAAAATGTTAGGAGCCATTGTTTAGAGGAGATTGTTTGCCTTAGGGGGGAGATGAGATGTATCAAGACTCACCTCCACCGAAGATAAATGAGCAATGTGTACAATGTCTTGTGGAAGGAGGACAAGTTAGTATTGAAAATTCGGTGGCATTTTGAGAATCTCTCTGCTCATGGCGTGCCCAGGCGACCTCACTGCATTTTTAAAACTACTACTCAAGAATGGAGAGAAAATGAAAACAAAGAACCATGCCTCATGTGAGCTGACCAAGGCAAGTCTAGTAGAGTGGAAGAAGGGGGCAGAAGGAACTGACAGCAAGTGAGAAATGAAAAATGAGACCAAAAAAGGGCCATTACAGAACTAGGTTGGTATCTTGAATGTAGGCGGAGGATACCAAAGATTTGGTCTTAATGCTTCCCTTCTTGACATGGAGGATAGGGATGTTCTCTTCTGTCCTTCTCAAGCTCGGTCCTCCTGCACTCTTTTCCCATTCCCCCTTCACCTGCTGTTTCTCAGCTATGGCAGCGCACTGTGTCTATTGCATCCTTCAGCCTGGCCCCCATCTTTCAAGAGGAAATGTGCCCTGAGGAAGCCACGGAAGGTGGAGCAGCCACTCTGCACTGTCAGCTGACCAAGGCTGCCCCGGTGGAATGGGAAAGGTGGCACAGAGTGCTACCATTCAGTGACAAGTACACAATGAGACAGGAAGGTGGCATTGTGGAGCTGCTGGTCCATGGTTTGGACCTGCTGGAGATCACACTTATGTGTGTGGAGACCAGAAGACCACTGTCACCTTAACAGTGCATGGTGAAATAGCTACGAGACAGTACATCTATGCCTTTTTGTTTGCTGTCTGCCGTATTGTGCCATTGCAAAGTCTTCCATTGCTGGATGTTGTTACCTTGTTGTGTTATTGTCCCGTGCTTTCAGTTTGTCTTTTTATGTCTCCTTGCAATTTGCTGGCATTACTCTACCTATGGTTTGTAATGGGGAAAAGAACTGCTCCCTAGAGCAGCTCAGCTACTTTCTTCCTTCGATTTTCTTTTGTATCTTTCTCAAGGTCCTGGTCCAATGCCCACTGATGCCAATGAGAGGCTTTCCATTGCATTCAATGGACATTGGACCAGGTCTTAATACGAGAGGGTTCAACGTTCTCCCCAATGGACCAGCCAGTTGCCATTGAGAGTTTTCATGCGCTTGCTGTCCATTTTTTGTTTCTCAGCCCTGCCTCCGCAGTTTAAAGAGGAACTGAAAAACGTGGAGGCTACCGAAAGCGAAGCTGCCACTCTGTGCTGTGAGCTGACCAAGCCATCGGCAGTGGAGTGGAGGAAAGGACACACCGTGCTCAGAGCCAGTGAGAAATGCAAAATGAGACAAGAAGGCTCCTTTGCAGAGCTGGTTCTCTGCGGTCTAGAGGTGAAGGATGCTGGAGAGTATACCTGTGTGTGTGGAGACCAGAAGACCACCGCTACCTTAACAGTACATGGTAATACGGCAAGAAAAAAAAATCCTGAAATATTTTTAATCCCTGCTTTGCTTGTTGAAATAACTCCCTGGGATGCAAAGCTTGCTATTAAGACCCGTACAGTCGTACTCCAGTACTCTTTTTAACAGAGTGTATCTAATAGTGCTGAGCATGAGTCCACACTCATTTTATACTGACAAGATGTTTTAAAAGAAGGGATGAAAAGTTTCCTAAATGAAAGAAAGATGTGAAAGTTATATGCTTTTATCTCTTCTCATGATCTGGGAATCCAATATAAGCGCCTCTTGCAATCTCCCTGCTTCCCCTCCTGCTATTTTAGGAATAATGCTTCTTACTACAGGTTGAACCTCTCTACTCCGGCACCCTCGGGACCTGACCAGAGCCAAACCAGAGAATTTGCTGAACCAAAGGAGGTCAATATTGTGTAGCAGCATTTCCAACACTTCTACTGCTTGCTGGGCTCTTAGGAGACATTTCAGGGTAAATTAGAGCTAAATCACAGCACAGAACACTGAGAGCCAGGGCTGGTGGCTGTAAACAAACTTTATGGGTCTGCAGGAAACTTGGCCACACCATGATAAGTGGACATACAGCGAACTAAAACCATGCCAGACCAGAGAGTGCTGGACTAGAGAGGTTCAACCTGTATTGTAAGATGAGAGGTGTAGTTTTATGCACATATTTGGCAGATCCTCTGTTCTTTGCTACACTGATATTCGGTGAGATGATTTGTGTGAGCAGAGCCTGCAGGATTGGGCCTTTGAGTGATATATGTTCCTTTCTGATGTGCTGTATTCTGAACTGCAGCCCTTCTACTCCATTTATTTTGAATTGGTCCACAGTGGACTATAGTAGTTTTTATGATGGACAGTCTTTTGTCAAGGATCATATTTGCCATTAAATTAGGCATCTCCATTCATTTCAGATCAGCTTATCTCCTAGAACTGGAAGGGACCTTGAAAGGTCATTGAGTCTAGTCCCCTGCCTTCATAGCAGGACCAAGTACAGTAGGGTCCCTATCATCTGACCTAAACAGGACTGACACATGGTCGGATTACTGAATATGTCAGATGATAGGGATAGGAATTCTACTGTAGAGCCCCATTGCTCTAGGAGCAGCTGATGCGGCTCCTGCCAGAGAAGAAGCGGCCCCAGCAGAAGCCTCATCAGCGACTCCAGGGCACGGGGAGGAAGAACGGCCCTGCTCGCTGCCTCTGGCAGGAGTGGCAGCAGCTGCTCAAAGAGAGTGACAGGGCAGCAAGCAGGGCCCTTCTCCTGGCCTGCGCTGTATCTGAGCCTGCAGCTTCCAGGGGCAAAGTTCCCTGGAGCTGCAGGGTCGGATAAAGCATAGTGTCAGATTACCAGGTATCAGATAATCTGGACTCCACTGTACCATTCCTAACAGATTTTGTCCCCAATCCCTAAATGGCCTGCTTAAGGATTGAACTCATAACCCAAAGTTTAGCAGGCCAATGCTCAAACCACTGAGCATTCCCTCCCCCCTAGAGCTAGATTAATTCATTGTACAGGTGCAGCACACAACCCAGGACACCCACCCCAAGTGAACTGAACTGTTCACTGAGCTTCAAAACTCTTTTGCAAAACTGGGCTGAGCTTTTCAGACAAGCTTCTATCAATTTTGGGCCAGGAATACAATCAAATCAGCAAGGAGCACACAAGAGCGTGTCCCAAATGGCATAGCCTAAGCAGCCATGCAGTGAAAAAGAATTGCAACACAGAATCCCGTGCGGGTTTCAAGATGCATCACGGAACTCTAATTTTCTCCCTTAAAACTCGCCTTTAAGAAAAATGTTGAAATGCTTACTGCTTATTGCAGATGTTCTGATCAACTCCTTTGCCCAAAAACTTTCCTAAGTCCCTGGGCTGAACACCTCACACTGGTGACTTTTGTAGCAATAGAAGATGCTGCCCCATGTGCAAGAGAGCTGGTTCTGAAAATATGCACAATACCTGTTAGGATTTACTGCTGTAGATTCCAAGGCTTGGACACCCCCAAAATAGTCCATTGTAGAGGGAAGAAGGGAAGAGTGAGGGGGGATTTGAGAGTAGCCTTCAACTCCCTGAAGGAGGGGTCCAAAGAGAATGGAGAGAGGCTGTTCTCAGTGGTGATGGACAGCAGAACGAGAAGCAGTGGTCTCGAGTCACAGTGGGGGAGGTCTAGGCTGGATATTTGGACAAACTATTTCCCTAGGACGGGGGGGAAGCACTGGGATGGGTTCCCTAGGGAGGGGGTGGAATCTCCATCCCTAGAGTTCTCTGAGTCTCGGCTTGACAAAGCCCTGGCTGGGATGATTGAGTTGGGTTGGTCCTGCTTTGGGCAGGGGGCTGGACTCAGTGACTCCTGAGGTCTCTTCCAGCCCTAGGATTCTTTGATTTCAAGCTCGTTCTCTCTCCCCTAGGAAAGCCCAGTTGCAGTATGATGCACGTTATGTTTTTATTTTATAGCCCTACCTTCACTTTTTAAACACGAGCTTCGGGATGAGGAGGAGGAAAAAGGTGGCACAGTCACACTGCAGTGTGAGCTCACCAAACCTAGCGCTCCTGTTAAATGGAGGAAAGGCGTTACAACACTCTTCCCTGGGCTGAAATACGAGATGATGCGGCCATGGCCCGTTGTGGAGTTGGTCATTCGTGACTTAAAACTGGACGATACTGGAAAATATACTTGTGGGATCAACAGACAATAGCAGCAGTGACTGTACATAGTAGGCAGCCACATAAATGTGCCATGAAAGAGGCCTTCTAAGTTTGCTGTAGGGCCGTTTCATTGCTTTGCTGCTGCTGTTTTATTCATTGTGTGTTCTGCTGTGCTTTCGGGGTATTCCACTGAGATCTGAATGGAAGAGCACCACAGGTCTGGCACACATACCAGTGCTGGAGGAGAGGGGGTTGGCTGGCATCCCTGAATATTTCAGCAGCAGCAAAACAATTAAACAATACAATGAGGTAAAGGTACTGATGTGCCCAAGCCATCTAAGTGGAGAGAAGCTGATGGTAAATGAGAATTTGGTGAGCTCCTCCACAGTGACTTTATAACTATGGGTGTTGGTGTGGGTGACCGCTGACTTAAAATGTTGTTTTTCACATTGACTGCATCCTGTGGAGTTTTAAAACTCAAGCTGAAGTCCATGGAATTTCACTAGTAATTAATTTTGTCCAATTTCAGAGCTCATCTGAATCTATATTATTTTGTGCGAATGAAAGGCAGCTTATGTGGTAGAATGAGCTGACTTTTCATCACGAGCAGCTGGTTTTCTGAGGCGACAGGAAAATTTCCTGGCCAAAATTGTTGACCTTTTCGGTTGAAGGAGAAGAGAGAAGCTGTCTCTGGCAAAAGAAACTCTGCTGTCAAACAAATGTTGACTGTAGTTCCTGAATAACTGAAGTGCTGATGAGAGGAAACACAAAGAAGAGTTATTTGCTGCTGAGTTCCCTTTTCTTTTTCAAGTTCTTTTTTCATGACTAGTCAGTGGGGCTATGTCTAAACTGCAGGTTTCTTTTGGAAGAAGCTTTTCCGGAAGAGATCTGGAAAAACTTCTGTAAGAGAGTGTCCACACTGCAAAAGCACATAAAAAAGTGATCTGCCTTTTTGTATGATAGCATCCATTCAGTGTGGATGCTATCTCACATTTCAGCTGTGATTACTATGGGCAGACTGGCCACCAGGGCACCTGTGCTTTTTCCTCTTTCCTCTTCTTTTGAAAGAACTCCCTCTTCCCTGTCCACATGTGCCTTTTTCCAAAAGAGCGCTTTCAGAAAAAGGCTTCTTCCTCGTAGAATGAGGATTACCAATGCTGGAAAAACCCCTCTGTTCTTTCGATTTTTCTTTCAGAAGAATGCGATTGCTGTGTGGACGTAATTGAAGCTTTTTTTTGAAAAATGGCTGTTTTTCCGGAAAAAAAACCTCTGTAGTGTAGACATAGCCTGGGAGAGCAGGCCAGCTGAGTTGTAGGAAAGAGGTATTTATTACATGCTCCAAGTAGTCAGTGCTACATGCTGAGGCTAGAGTTCGAATGCAGTTAGTGTCGCTCCAGTTGCCTTCCTGACCCGCTGGTGTCCTGCTAAACTAGGTCCTTTGTGAAAGCTGAAATTCTTTCTTCAGTTCCCTCTCCTATGACATTCATCTCCCATTGCACTAACCGCTGTCACATGAGGATTTATCTATTGCTATTATGTATTTGTAGTACTATGGCCCTGATCACAGACCAGGATACCACTATGTTTAGATGCTGTATACTCAGAGCAATAATACAGTCTGCGTCTCAAAGCACTTACAGTCTAATGGAGAAGATTCTCTATGCTAAACACAACAGGCTGTTGTAAAATGGAAAGGCTGATAGGCGGGAAATGGAGGACAAAATCACTCTCATTTTCAGATACTGTGTTCATCCAGTCCGTCTCTTCTGTTTTCGTAAAGATGCTGCCACAAAAAGTCGGATTAGTTTAAATCAGAGGCTTGTTCATTTCGTGGACTACTTTGTGAGACAAACTCTGTTCATGGACAAACTCGGCTCCAAATGCCCTGACGTTTCCCCATCCCATTGACGTTTCTTGGTTCACGAGCAGGCCATAGCCAGTTGGAGAAACACTTGGTTTGGCTTGTCCTTGATGCACCCTGGCAGATATCTTCTTGTGGGAACTACAATGCACTTAAAATATTTACTTCTCAATTTTTGCAGCCCTGCCCACTGTCTTTAAGCAACCCCTTGAGAATCAGGAGGCTGAAGAAGGAGGGACAGCCACATTACATTGTGAGCTCTCAAAGCCCGGTGCTCCGGTGCAGTGGCGCAGAGGAGGTCTGGGGCTGCAGCCTAGCGATAAGTATGAAATGAGACAGAGAGAATGCATTGTCCAGCTCTTAGTGCATAACCTCACATTAGAAGACACAGGAGAATACAGCTGTGATATTGGGGAACAGGAAACAAAGGCCTCTCTGTATGTGAAAGGTAGGTGATATGAGCCCCTCTCTGACCTCACTCCTGAAACAATTGGTTTGCTTCAGCATTCGAAAGGAAGATTATTGAATGATAGAACTTTGGGGCATCTGATGTTTTCCTTCCTTCTTATTAATGGTGTTTAGAAATAAAACCACCCTACGTCATTGTCCTGAATGGAACAGTGGCATGGAAGACAAGATGGTACTTTATTTTCAGAGATTTATATTTGTTTGTAGGAACATGAGAGTGGTGGCCTGTAACACAGGTAACTTTCCCAGACATTTGGGAAGATTTGGGATTCTGCAGCGATTCAACATGTCATTGGACATGTGTCTTGATGCACGACTGATGTCCCTTGAAATATGAGACAAAAAACCAATGTTCTCCATCTAGTTCCTGGAAGGAGGCCAACGTGGGACTTCCCAAGGGCACGGCCCAGGCAAACTCATTTTGAATGCCAACATAGTTCTCAGATTGGTACAAAGTTGATTTTGCTCAAGGAAGGAACAAAGTCCAAGAGTATTTGAAGGAAATGTCAGAATTGTATACGGCCTCTTTTGACTGTAATGGGATCAGTTGCCCTCATCAGTACAAGCTGGCAGTACACACTATCTGGGCATGTCAACACTATGCGGAAGATCGACACTGCTGCGGTCAATCTTCCAGGGTTTGATTTAGCAGATCTAGTATAGACCCCCCTAAATCAAACTCTGAGGGTGTCCCTGTGGGCGCTCGTACTCCTCCTCCTCATGAGGAGTAAGGGAAGCTGATGGGAGCATTGGTTGCTGTTGACTTCCCACTGTGTGGTCCATGCGGAAACGCAATGTAAGATACATCGACACCAGCCACGTAATTTACGTAGCTGCAGTTATGCATCTTCCTTTGCCCTTCCGCTGTAGTGTCAACCAGCCCAAAGAGAATGACAGTTGCTCCATTTCGGCCACAGCGGAGTCTGATTTTGTGAACAAATACTTGATTTGGAATTAAATAAAAGCCCTTGGGTTTTTTCTTCTTTTCCTTTTAGCCCTCCCAGTTCTTTTCAAAAAGGAGCTCAAGGACACAGAAGTGGAAGAAGGTTCTACAGTAAAATTCCAGTGTGAGCTGACAAAGGCCACGTCTTCCGTAGAGTGGAGGAAAGGCACCATGGACCTCTTTCCATGTGCTAAATACGAAATGAAACTAGAGGGTCTGATAGCTGAACTTGTGATCCATAACGCAGAACCAGAAGACACATCTGATTATACCTGTGATACTGGTGACCAACGGAGCACAGCGAACCTCAGAGTGAATGGTTAGCATTGCCCCAGATGGGGTACCGTTTTAAAATAGGGACATGCTAAAGAAGGGTCTCTGAATGTTTTTGTGAATAGATCAAATTAGAAATAAGAGGAAGGAAAAAAATGCAGATACGCAACATAACATAAGAACTAGTAGTCACCAAATGAAATTAATAGGTGGCAGGTTTAAAACAAACAAAAGGAAGTTTTTCTTCACACAGCACATAGTCAACCTGTGGAACTCCTTGCCAGAGGATGCCGTTAAGACCAGGACTGTAACAGGACTCAGAAAAAACCTAGATAAATTCACGGAGATTAGGTCCATCAATACGTATTAGCCAGGATGGTAGGAATGGTGTCTCAAGCCTCCGTTTGTCAGCGGCTGGAAATGGGTGACAGGAGAGGGATCATTTGATGATTCTCTGTTCTGTTCACTCCCTCTGGGGTACTTGGCATTGGCCACTGTTGGAAGGCATTATGCTGAGCTAGATGAACCTTTGGTCTGATCCAGTCTGGCCGTTCTTATGTAAAATCACAGCTCAGACTGCAGAAAAGTTGATGATGAAGGGACATTTCTAAAATTCCTGTGAGGGTGCAAACCCTACAAATTTTGTGGATATTCACTTTAGCACTACGAGTATCTGCATCTGTGCATATGGATCTGGGTATCTGTAGCTCATTTTTGCAGTTATAGACACAGTTGTGGATACACATTTGGTATCTAGAACCCTGCAAATTTGCGGATCTCCACTTTATGTCCTCAGGTAGCTGCATCTACAGATGTGGATGCGGATAGCTACAGCTCATTTTTGTGAATATAGATGCGGATCAAGATTTTGTGTCCACATAGGTTCTAGTGCTAAGGCAGGTTGGAATGCATCTAGTACAATAATGCTACATCTTATGTAAGGGATTCTTATTGAGAGCCTAGCATTTTAAAAAGATAAGTGGAGCAACAGATCTTGTGCTTGAGGTCTTATTCTCCTCTTACTGAAGTTGGTGTAAATTAGGAGTAACTCCATTAAAGTCAATGGAGTTAGACTGATGTTAGTAAGAAGAGGATGCTGTGCGTTCCAAGTGGATGTTGGTGTACCCTGACTCTGAATGCTATCGGCTACATCACAAGAAGGCTCAGCGTAGAGATCCTTCTGATAATGAAACCCTGAACTCTGGGATAAAAGCTTTAGGGAAATTGCACTGAGCTTGCCTTTCTTTATGTCCTGGGATCACAAGTAATTTGTCCACCCGTGACATTATTAAAGGCATATGTGTTCTGCAACATGAGGCCTCAGGCAGCCAGCCCACTTGTGCTGGGCTCTCTCTGGGTTAATCTTTCTACACACAGGCACGTAGCTAATGGGTTGTCTATTGACTGTTCTTGACTTGACAGCCATTAAGCCTCAGTTCAAGCAACAGCTAAGGAATGAAGAGGTGGAAGAAGGAGGCGTGGTGAGGCTACGCTGTGAGGTCACAATAAGTAATGCGGTAGTCGAGTGGAAGAAAGACGGCAGAGTGCTGAAGTCCAGTTCCAAGTATGGGATCAGACAGGAGGGTGCAATTCATGAGTTATGTATCCAGCACCTGGAGCCTCAGGACACCGGGGAGTATTCCTGCCTTGCTGGCGATGAAATGACCTCTGCAATGCTGACTGTGAAAGGTAAGAGGCCTTTTACTGTGGGGTTGTGTTTCAGCACTAGGGGATGAGATTTCACATCGTAATAGCTACTACATATCAGACAGTTTTCATCTCCAAAAGCTGATTAAAAGAGATGACTCTAGGTAACCCTAGATCATCAAGACTCGTGGTAATTGAGTGTGGCAAGTGAGAAATGACCAAAGTATCACTACGGGAGACAGCATTTCCTTTTGGGTATGTCCAAGTCCATGCAACGAACGCTCACAGCATCCAAAAATCCACCCTCCCCTCCCGTCATTTCCTTTTGGGTATGTCCAAGTCCATGCAACGAATGCTCACAGCATCCAAAAATCTCCCCTCCCGCCTTGCTACTTTCCATTCCAAGTGAAAGACAAGCTGCTTTGACATTGCTTTCCATAACATAACCACATCGCATATCGTACGCCCTTTTAAAAGACACAGGATTTTGTCCTTGGGGAGAGGAAGAGAGAGAACCGCATGTGAAAGATGTTAGCCGTGTCCAGATACCAACATGGTGGGAATGAACACTGTGAGCAGTTAACCAAAACAAAAATAAAGTCCTGCTTTGGGCAGAGGGCTGGACTCGATGACTCCTGAGGTCTCTTCCAGCCCTTGGGATTCTATGATTCTATGACATGTTTTAAGAACCCAAACAGTGCCGAGCAGTGCTCTAGAAAGACGATGTACCGCTCAGAGACCTCGAGCGGTTTTGGTCCACATGCGGCCATTTATTCTTTCACTAATGGACACTGTCACATTTGCAGAGCCCGATGTGACCATAGTCAGCGGCCTGAAGGACGTGGCGGTGTTTGAAGAGGAAGACGCCGTGTTTCAGTGCAAGGTGTCGCGTGACAACGCAAAGGATGTGGAGTGGAAGCTTCAGGGAGTGGCTCTGCAGAGCAATGAAATGAACGAGATCTCCGTTGAAAAGGGCCAGATTCACACACTGAGACTGAGGACGGTCACTCAGCAGGATAATGGCACCATCACGTTCAGAGTGGGACCCCATGTGTCAACTGCGCAGCTCACGGTTAAAGGTAACAAGTTGCACGGCCTGGCTGAGAATTTGGTGTGGGTGGCGTGCGACTTCTCTAGGTGGCATCTACATACAGAAATGGAATGGCTGCCATCAGTTGAGATTACCAAGGGGGATTAAGTTCGGGATTTTGATAGATCCTTCTTCTCTCCTCTTCTGAGTTCCATTCGCTCCCTGAATCCCCCTTCATAGCTGTAAAAAACGTTGCACTCACAGAATCAAACCATAGTCCCTTCCTGTCCTTATGAGCTATGACATTGAGCTGGCAACATAAATTACAGCAAGTTTGATTAATACTTCATTACAATCTGATAACTCTAAGGGTGTGTCTACATGGCAGAGCTGAACTCAAAATAAGCTGTGCAAACTGAGCTACGTCAATTGCGTAGCTTATTTTGAAATTGGGAGTGTCTACACAGCACTTATTTCGAAATAGAGCACTTTTCCTCTGACTTCCCTTACTCCTTGCACAATGAGGGTTACAGGAGTCGGAATAAGAAGTCCTCCCGCTCGACATTATTTCGAAATAACTGCCTGCTGTGTAGACGCGGATTAAGTTATTTCAAAATAATGTTGCTGGGTAGATGCACCCTAAGGCTACATCTACACTGTACATCAATTGTGAAATAATCTATTCCAGAATAGTTATTCTGAAATAGTTTATTTCAAAATAGCACGTCTACACTTATAGGGAAACCTCAACATTAGTCCGAAGTAGGCTCCCCTAATGTAGACGTGCTATCTCTATTTAGAGCCCCAGGAGGCACTGGGGAGGAATAACTTAGAATGGCGCTGGTGTTCGAGGAATAACTTAGAATGGCCCTGGTGAGGGCCTGTTTTGAAATAGCAGCAGTGGAAAGTCTACACACATCTTATTTCAAAATAGCTATTTCAGAATAGGCGTTATTCCTTGCAGAATGAGGTTTACAAATTTTGGAATAAGCCGCTTGTGATTTTGAAATTATTTCAAAATAATGGAATGGCTGTGTAGACGCTTGCATAGTGATTTTGGAATAATGGCTGTTATTCCAAAATAAGTTTGCTGTGTAAACATAACCTAAGAGATGATGTCAAGTATCTTAGGTTCAAAATTCAGGGATTTGCTTTAAAAAAAAAAAGTCTGAGCAAGCCTCCTTCAGAATTCAAACACTTTTTGGTATTTAAACATTCCACTGCATCATTTGCAAGCCAGTTACTGTGGGGATATAACATTGGGATTCTCCCTGGGCTGACAAAGTACTGGCAAAAGCAGAATTTGAAAACTCGATTAGGGTAATCACAAACTTCTGCGAGTCTATCCTCCATATATTTGTAATTTCAGTGCCACTTCCAGTCTTTAAAGAGACTCTGAAGAACACAGAAGTGGAGGAGGATACTACAGCTGTCCTGGAGTGTGAGGTGTCTCAGCCCAACGTGTCAGTGGAGTGGAGGAAGGGCTCTCAGGAGATTTCTCCAAGCTCCAAATATGAAATCAGGCAAGAGGGAACAATCCATACGCTGAAGATTTATAATTTAAAGCCAGAAGATTCCGGCAAATACACATGTGATAATGGAAATCAGCAAACTACAGCCACTTTAACGGTCAGAGGTAGGTTTTTGAGTGGTTTTTCGAGGAAATATGTGTCCCAGTTAACAAGCATAGTCCTATTTCTGTCAGATCTAGGCCAGATCTTCAGCTCATCATTTGCATTCAGGGGAGCTATGCTGATTTACGCCTGCTGAGGTATTCTGTGTTGCGAAGTTGCATTATACGCTTGATATCTATAGTCCAAGATTTACTTCCATTGGCTATTGTATATGACAGTGGTAATGGCTCCACAATGAACTCTCTGTCTGCATATGTACTGAAAAAGTATGGACAGTTGTCACTGTGTATGTACACCTGCTCCCATGTCTTACCTGGTCACTGTCATCGTTCATATCATGGAAGTGAGGGATTAGCAGGTATTGGCGACAGAGCCAGTTTTACCCTAGTTAATGCTTTGCAAACTACTCCAGTACAGATGTCAATGAAATTCATTTCTGAGTTGTGAGGCCTTCCTTCCAGCCCAGCTCTGGGCCTCGGCAATGTTCTCAGATTCATAGACATCAAGCCCAGAAGGGACATCGTGTCTTACTTCCAGTATAACACTGACCATAGAATTGGAGTGCTACCCTCTGTTGAGTCAAAAGATTCTTCTGCCACCTTGGCAGAGTTCAGAGTTCTCTATTGCCTTGGCCTTAGACACACACACACAAATGTCTCATGCAAGGTAAGATAATGGTGCTGATGCTACTCCCTCCTACACAGGTGTCAATCAAGAGCAACACATTGCAGTCAATAGAATTGCACAGACGTAAAAATGCAACGATCGCTATTAATAGCTTTAGCTATGCTCTGGAGTCAATGGGAGAGGCTGGAGGCCATCAGCACTAGTGAAAACCAGACCTGAGGGGTGCATCTAGACTGGCAAGATTTTCCGCAAAAGCAGTTGCTTTTGCGCAAAAACTTGCCAGCTGTCTACACTGGCCGCTTGAATTTGCGCAAGAGCACTGATGTTCTAATGTAAGAATTTAGTGCTTCTTGCGCAAATACTTTTGACGCTCCCGCTCAGGGATAAGCTTGCACAAGAGGGGCCAGTGTAGACAGGCACCTTAATTTTTTGCGCAAGAAAGCCCGATGGCTAAAATGGCCATCGGAGCTTTCTTGCGCAAAAGCGCGTCTATACTGGGCACGGATGCTTTTGCGCAAAAGCCTCTGTGCCAATCTAGACGCTCTTTTGCGGAAATACTTTTAATGGAAAAACTTTTCTGTTAAAAGTATTTCCGTAAAATCATGCCAGTCTAGACGCAGCCGAGGTGTCTAAAGTGAGCCCCACACATTGCGACAGACCAGGTTAGTGAATTCTTTTAAAGCAATCAGCTCAAGTGACTTGCCTATGCTCACAGTTAGACTAAGATTAGAGCTCTGATAATCAGCCATCTGTCTGTGCTGCTAAACTACAGGCCCACGCAGGCTGGTCACCTCAACTCTTCATGTTTTCTCCACTTCAAATAGAAACAGGCTTTCAGTGGGAAATTTTCAGTATCCAGATTGTTGTCTTATTGTTTTGGCCAAGAGAAACACGTACCATTTAGACTCAGATGTATGCTACAGCTGTTGGGCTTGAGCAATCATCCAGACCAGCACCTCTGGACTCTCTCCCAATTAGCCACACCTTTCTCCAGGCGGGCCAAAGGGGGGCAAAAGGGGAATTGCCCTGGGGCCCAGAGATTCAAAGAGACCCATGGCTTCTGGCTGCTGTCACAACTACGGCGCTCTGGGCATCTCTGAGGGCTGAGGGGAGGGGACCCAGTGCCACATTCTGGATGCAGCTGAAGGCTGGCTAGCCTGGTCCTGCCCCTTCTGTCCAAGACCCCCATCCCTTCCTGGAGCACGGAGCTGACCTCTCCCCTCACCTTGCCCAGGCACCCGGGGAGGCTGTCGGCTCCCCGTCTTTCTCACAGTGTGTTGCCCCAAACTGGACATGTTACTCCAGCTGAGGCTTCCCCGGTGTGGAGGAGAATAGGACAAATACCTCCCATACTTGTGCTATTCTTTTGTATTCGTCCTGTGCGATTCATCCATGTTTCCACTTTTTGTAGGATTCCTTTATTACATTCAAGTCATCCCCTAACTCCTAATGCAGCCATATTAGCTTCTTCTGCTTCTTCATCTTCTTCCTATTTTTTTTCTTGTTGGGATAGTTTGCTAGTGTGCCTGTATTATTTTACCTTTCATATTAGATTTTCTGCAGCAAATGATCACAAAAGCCAAGTGAAACGAAATGTTCTCAAAGTTCCCACTGATACCTTTCACATGAAAGGCGTGTCCCCGTTTTCTCGGGATATAATACTGACTCCAAGACTCACAGTGTTGCTTGTGAGACCAAGCAAATCCAATTGCAGTTATACTATGGGGGGGGGGGACACGAAATGGCCTGGTACGCGACTCTTTTTCTCTGTGGAACCCAGCCCTTCCAGCGCTCTTCGAACAGAAACTCCAGCCCCAAGAAGCAGAGGAGGGCTCATCTGTCACCTTCCACGCTGAGCTCTCCAAACCCAAGGCAGCAGTGCAATGGCGAAAGGGATCCACCCCGCTCCAAGCTAGTGCCAAGTATGAGATGAGTCAGAGAGGCACTGCTGTGGAGCTCCTCGTTCATGACTTGCAGCTGACAGACGCTGGAGACTACACCTGCGATTCCGGCGACGCACAGACGACAGCGTCCCTGTTGGTAAAAGGTGAGGAAACGTTATTGCTCCTGGCAGCTATTTCTAGCGTATTTCAATGCAGCAGTCCTGTTCCTGGGATGGAGGAGCGATGAATTTATGAAGCATATTAACCAAGGAATGCTGGCCAGTCACCATGTGATCACCAAAAGCTTTGGTGGCACGTTAACGTTGCCTCTGATTGGCTTACGTCAGCCAACGCGTCCTATGGTACTAGCTCAGGGGTAGGCAATCATTTTTGACTGGGGGCACTTCGGAAATGTTTGGAATGGCCCTGGCTTGCCCCAGAAGGGGTGGGGCCAGGACATTTCTGTGCTTCCCCACCTGCAGACCCTGATTGGTCTGGGGATGAGGGAGCGCGACATTTCTGTGCTTCCCCACCTGCAGAGCCTGATTGGTCTGGGAATGGGGGAGCGTGCAAAGTCTTTGCCCCCTCAAGAGAGAACTGCCAGCTGTTCAGAACAGCTGGTGGTTACCTCTAAGCACCCATGCCCCAGGCAGTGGGAGCAGACTTTGCGTGCCCCCTCTGCTGCCTCTAGGTCAATGAGGGAGGGGGAGCATGTGAAGTCTCTTGCTCCCTGCCCCTGCCCTGCAAGGGAACACCGCGCTTAGAGTCATCCACCAGCTGAGCAGCAGCTGGCAGTTGACTTTAGGTGCTGAGCCTCTTGCAGGGCAGGCGGATACTTCACGTGCTCCCCTGATTGGCCGTAGGCCAGATGAACCAGCATGGTGGGCTGGATTCGGCCCACAGAGGCCCTTTTGCCCCATTCCTGATGTAGCTAGAGCTGGCGTTTCGTCTGCAAGGAGCCCACGCCCCTGGGGGTTTGCATGGCTGAGGGGAAAGGAGAGATGTATCCGTCAGAAGCCGCTAAGGGTTGTGCATTTCTCAGGACACTCTTGCTTGCGGCCCCCACTCCGCGCTGCATGCTAGCTCGGGAGCCCGCTGGGTGCTGAAGCCTCCAGTTGTGTTGGAAGCAGAGAGACAGCCTTCTGGGGCGACTGCCTCTCCTGATCTGCAAGCAGCTGGCTTCGTGGGCCCTTTCTCCCATCCCGCCAGGCTCCCCTCACACACAGCTGCCCCCAAACCTCACCCCAGCCATTTCCCAACAACCCACCCCCCCTCTTACAGGCATCTGCCGCCTATCCCAGAACACGCTCCCCATCCACACTCAGAGTTACTTTCCCTCCCATGTGACTCTCCACCTCAGTTGTGGGGCCAGTAGCGCACCTGCGCCACACGGGGCTGAGCCAAAACTCAGGAACCCAACCCCCAAGCTCAGTGCTGTTCCAGACCCATCTTACAGCGTACTACTGGTGCTCCAAAGGGCTGAGCCAAAACTCAGGAACCCAACCCCCAAGCTCAGGGCTGTTCCAGACCCATCTTACAGTGTACCACTGGTGCGCCAAGCAACACAACCAATTCCAGCCCTCCTTTCCTGGGGGAGTCTGGTGTTCAAGGAGGGGACTGAGGACGGGACGGTTCCCGCTTCCTCGGTTGTGCAGGCAAATAAGAAAAGAACCTAAATCCATAGCTGAGGCCTCTGAGCTCCTTCTGGAGCACCCAAAGGCAGAATTAGGTGCCAGACATCAGTGCTCAGGTTCCTGTTATGGGGCACTGTGGGGCGCTGCCAACCACACCCTGGAGTTCAGCGGGAAGGGTTCCAGGGCAGACCCTCAGAAAATGGTGCTCCGCATTTGTTCCCATGGGGGGTTTTAAAACCATGTTTTGCAGCATGAGCTTAAAGAAATAGCGTACAGGCCACCACGATTTCATGGAAACTCCCCCAAGAACTGCCAGGCTCTGAAGGGTTCCAAAAGATTGCTGCTAGTGGTGATTTGACAGGATTTTGTATGCTGCACCCGGCGGGGGGGGTGGTAATTCTGGTGGGGAAATGGATCGAAATGTTTACAACTTACTACATAAAACAGACAAATGGCTGTAAAGCCAGGGAAGATTCTTATCAGAGAGTGGGGAAGAGACAGTCCCTAACAAAGGGTCAACACGTTTCCCTCTTTATCTTGGCTTAGCTTTGCCGGTGCTTTTCACACAACCGCTCCAGAGCCAGCAAGCAGAAGAGGGTGGCACCGTCACCCTGCGCTGTGAGCTCTCGAAATCCAACGCCCCTGTGCAGTGGAGGAAAGCTGGGCACATTTTGCAACCAAGTGACAAGTACAAGATGCACCAAGCCGGCCCTGTGACCGAGTTAACAATTCGTAACCTGAATGAGGCAGACTCGGGGGAATACTCCTGTGACACAGGAGACCAACAAACCATCGCAGCTGTCTCTGTGAAAGGTAGGATTAAAAAGACCGGGTCTTCTCAGCTTAGAAAAGAGGAGATTAAGGGAGGATATGATAGAGGTCTATAAAATTATGACTTGTGTGGAAAAGGTGAATAAGAAAAAGTCATTTACTTATTCCTGAACTTGGGGTCACCAAATTAAATGAATAGGTAGCAGGTTTAAAACAAACAAAAGGACGTACTTCTTCATGCAGCGCACAGCTAACCTGTGGAACTCCTTGCCAGAGGATGTTGCAAGGATCATGACTTTAACCAGGTTCAAAAAAGAACTAGATACACGCATGGAGGTTAGATACGTCAATGACTATTAGCCAGGATGGGATTGGTCCTGCCTAGAGCGGGGGGCTGGACTTGACAACCTTCTGGGGTCTCTTCCAGTTCTAGTTTGTCACAGGCTGGAAATGGGTGACAGGGGAGGGATCACTTCATGATTCCCTGTTCTGTTCACTGTTTCTGGGGGCATTGGTCACTGTCGGCAGACAGGATCCTGGACTAGATTAGATTCTTATGTTTTTATGTAGGGTTTGAACTCTCTTTTGAGCAATACCGTTGGAAGTAGCTGCACTCTCTTTAAAATCATGATCCCAACACCATGGTGAAGTAGAGTTCTACAGCAGTGTAGGGGAAAGCCCACTGCATGTTGTTCTGTACCCAGTCAAATGAAGACACATGGTGACAGTGTTTTCAGTGGATTCGGAACACGGCCTTTAGTGATTCTAGGACTTTACATTAATACTACTTAACTCCAGTGTCCAATCTTTCTGTTAGAAATATTTGTATATTACAAGTATAATATTGGTTTAACTACCTAGAGTCCTTTGGGCAGGAGTTGCCTTGTTTGTCACAGGCTGGAAATGGGTGACAGGGGAGGGATCACTTCATGATTCCCTGTTCTGTTCACTGTTTCTGGGGGCATTGGTCACTGTCGGCAGACAGGATCCTGGACTAGATTAGATTCTTATGTTTTTATGTAGGGTTTGAACTCTCTTTTGAGCAATACCGTTGGAAGTAGCTGCACTCTCTTTAAAATCATGAGCCCAACACCATGGTGAAGTAGAGTTCTACAGCAGTGTAGGGGAAAGCCCACTGCATATTGTTCTGTGCCCAGTCAAATGACACATGGTGACAGTGTTTTCAGTGGATTCGGAACACGGCCTTTAGTGATTCTAGGACTTTGGAGTTAAGTAGTATAAAGGTAGTGTCCAATCTTTCTGTTAGAAATATTTGTATATTACAAGTATAATATTGGTTTAACTACCTAGAGTCCTTTGGGCAGGAGTTGCCTTACAAATAGCAATATAATAATGCTGTCTAAAAGTGCGGAGAGATGCTTGAAAAAGGATGTAAACCAGTGGTGACTTTTTTCCACCCAAGAACCAGCCGCGAGCATCGTGGAGGTGCTAAAGGACATCACCTTATATGAAGGAGAAGACGCAGTGTTCAAGTGCAAGGTGTCTCGGGAGGCAGCTCGGGACGTGCACTGGTGCCTGGGCGGCGTACCGCTCCAGCCCAATGAAATGAATGAGATAACGGTTCAAGGGAAGCTTCACACTTTGACTCTGAGGAGGGTGACCCTAGAAGACTCGGGCTCTGTCAGTTTCAGAGTGGGGCAGCATACCTCAGAGGCACAGCTGACGGTGCAAGGTAAGTGCACAACCCCCTGGAGACTGTGGTTACCAGAAGTCATCCAGTGTGGTGTCTGGACAGGCCTCTTGTTCTGCCCAATGATGAGAACTATTCGGCTGCGTGTTTGTCCCTCTCTGTGTTGTACTGACGCTGCAGGTAGCCTGTACAGCAGACTCCAAGAGAGCTCCTGAAGACCACAGAATCAGGCAAGGATTTATCATAAATGAAGCACGGTCCTAGCGTCCCCAGATCAGATGTCTAGTTAGGCTAACAAGCGCATGCTCCTTACACTGGACTTGGCTCAGTCAGTGATGGGGATTTGCCACAGCCCCTAGGGTGGATAAAGACAACTCCCTGAGGGTACATTCCAGGAAACTACAGACCAGTTGGTTAAACTTCTGTGCCAGGGAAGATAATGGAGCAAGTAGTTAAGGAAATCATCTGTAAACATTTGGAAGGTGGCAAGGTGATAGGGAACAGCCAGCATGGATTTGTAAAGAACAAATCATGTCAAACCAATCTGATAGCTTTCTTTGATAGGATAACGAGTCTTGTGGATAAGGGAGAAGCGGTGGATGTGGTAAAGCTAGACTTTAGTAAGGCGTTTGATACGGTCTCGCATGATATTCTTATCAATAAACTAGGCAAATACAACTTAGATGGGGCTGCTATCTGGTGCATACCTGGCTGGATAACCGTACTCAGAGAGTAGTTATTAATGGTTCGCAATCCTGCTGGAAAGGTATAACAAGTGGGGTTCTGCAGGGATCTGTTTTGGGGCCGGCTCTGTTCAATATCTTCATCAACGATTTAGATATTGGCATAGAAAGTACATTTCTTAAGTTTGCAGATGATACCAAGCTGGGAGGGGTTGCGACTAATCTGGAG